GGAGAAAAGAGATTGTTTGCGCAGCTGTTAAAAGAAGGAGTAAGTAACATTGCGCTTACGAGGCAGATACCGATCCGGGAATAGAATAGAGATGGTGCTACCGCTCGGAAACATAGAACAGCAAAGGCGCTTAACAGCGCCGCGTGAAAAGGATCCAGCTTTACTTTTTCTCTTAACCAATCTTCATAGCCGGGGGTAAAAATGGATTTAATTTGAAGGTCGGTGTGTGTGGTTTGGAAAAAGTCGGTATCGCCGCACGCGATGGATGGGACGAGGGACTGAGAGCAGCCCGACGGCTTGCTGGCTTTGTTAGCGCGCGGTGGGTGACTGATAATTCGAGCGCCGGAAGCCGAACATTTCTCCTCTGTAAGTACCGTAGATGTCGGTCCTAGGCGGTGTATAGTGGTTTGTTTTACTTACAGTCAGGCTCCGCTACGCTACGCGCCCTGTTCCGCTACCTTTGCTGATGAAGGCGGTGACCTAGGTACCGGTACTGGACCTCCAGCACCATGGCGCGCGTGCGGAACGGATTGGGAGAAGTTTCTTTTTCGCTGCGTAGAGCGGCTTGGGGGTTTATCGTGCGGTGTAGGGTTGTAGGACTGGAAACTGCAATATGCATTGTTGCACTGCAGGTCTGCTTTGGCACAATAGAGTTTGGACTGAAGGGATAGAGGCATGCGAAACTACCGGTACCTATCGGCTCGTACAGTAATATCGTAGTAATTCGTCCGAAATATTACGTACAGAGTATAGTTGCGGTTTGTTACGTAGCAAGAAGCGAGATACGGAGCAACAAATCGAGGTCTATAAGTCGGTAAGTAATAGTCAAGGCTTTCCGAGTACGTATTTACATCTTCTCAGAGTCCCCCTTCCGCTCGCCGTCACTCGAATAACGCTTTCAAGCTATTCATTTTCTATCACTCTATCAGGATGAAGTTTGTAATACCGTACATAACAGGTACTTAATACAGTGTGCATTACAATGCTCATCGGAATGCTCAAGTCCAGGCGTAAGCACGAAAGAGTCAATCCTGCCGGTATGCTCGAAGAATCCCGTATCCGGCATACAGCGCCCATCACTAAGTAGATTAGATTAGATTATTGATTAGGTACCTAGCCATCTAAAGAAAAAAGAAATCCCAACTTATTAACGATGAGATAGGTAGAATAAAGTCACTTACACGAAGAACGTGCATGGGATATCACCAGTATCAAGAGAGCTGATTGCATCGACATCGGTAGCGAGATTGACTTTTCGAAGACTTGTCAGCTTTACTTTAGGTACCTATATGAAAGTTTCGAACGAGGTTCCAAAGTTGTTCCACGGAATCTTGGCCAAGGTCGAAAAAACCCGACAGACATTGTAGATCGCTGCTTGTTGCTTGTTGCTTTTTCTGCAAGAACTTCCATGTGGCTCCATACCGGTACTGCACGACTGCACAGTGAGCCTCGGTCGCCCTCTATCCGTAAATATTCCAGGTTTTCGGGGAAAGTTCACAATGAAGATCAGTTCCTCCGGACCAAAGACTCTCCTCTCTACCAACTTCACTCGCCTCTGCAGAACTCAAAAGTCCTCGATATTCAGTTCAGACAATGACTCGTGCTCGTTATTGTCCAATCCGCTAAGGATCGCTCAGCATCAGCAAAACCTTCTTGCCCGTCTCCCCTCCGAGGTATCCACTGTTCTCCCCATCCCTATTTTCCACCAGGACCGCAGCTTCGTAGCCCTTCGTGACCATGTCCTCATCAATCCTGATACCCTCTTCCACTAGCAAGTTGATAACCCCGCGGATTCGTGAGATCTCTCTTCTCGTATCGGGCCCAATCTCGTCATTCTGGCTCGAGTATACCGTACTGCTGATATTCTCCTCCATCCTCGTAATAGCGGTATCACCACCTGCAACCTCCACATGTTTGCTGATCCAAATGTAACCATTGACCCCAAGAACGATATCGACTTGTCCTCCGCCGGAGACTGTGTCGATAGTCCAGACCTGCCTCCTAGATCTGACAACACCTCCACCTCCTCCGACGCCACTGACACTCATAAACACCCCGTTCCTGAGCTTCCCATACTTCAAACTTCTGGTGTGTAGTGACGCACTCCCATCTTGATGCAAGCTTTGCACCTCGGCAATCAATAAATCTCCCTCCGAAAAGAATGTTCGAATCTGTAACTCGTCGGTATCTGTTCTCTTCCGCAGGATTCCTCCGGGAAGGTTGATAGCAGAGAGCGGCAGTCCTGCGAGAACTGGCGCCCCGACGTCGACACGCCAGCGCTTAGCCTGGACTTCCACAATCCGACCAACAACCAGGTCTCCAATCTCGGGCGTGTAGCGTGCACGCAGGGGTCGTACTGAGAGGAGCTTGTTGGTCTTCTGGATCGTGCCGGCGACGGTCGCAATGATCTCGGTGCTGGAAGATGCGACGTATGTGCCGTGACCCCTACCCTTGCATCAGCTCCTATATATATACATGTATATTTATTAACGGATCTGTGATTCATTGGAAGACACACCTCATCCATTGCGGATCGTCGGTCACCGTCTGTCCTGGGGTTACGAGATCCTTTGCAGAGCTGTGTCGGGCTCGCTTTGCAGGCCGCATGTCAAGATCTCCCTCCAAACCAACACCGCCATCTTGATTAGATTCGTCTTCGGGCTCTCCCGCATACTGATAAGGCACTGCCGGCGCGGGAGCGAGTATGGTGATGGCCATGGTTGTCTCGGTGCTTGAAAAGGATGTGGAAGCTTTGCAAGGCTGATGCACGAACAAGGAAATCCTTGGTGAGGCTGAAGAGCTTGGCACTTGAACGAGGCTACTCTGCTTTTTCGGACATAAGAGTCTGGAATCGAGAATTCGGGCAACTCTCAAGTGCCACCAAGATGAGCCGTTCACTAGGTCCCTCGCCGTGGTCTAAAAGCACATTGTAGTGTTGGCAATGGGAATCTATCTCACAGTATACGTCTTCTGTTGCTTTACATCACGCAATATAAGTGTCCACTTCAATCCGACTGCTCTCACCCCTTTGCCCACCCCCCGGGTGTTCCGTCCCGCCCCCCCGCCCGTCGGGTCTGGTGTCTCCTGCCTGCTCAAAGACAAATATTCCCCTCTGCCAGATGTCTTGCCATTCTTATCCAAGCTTCCTGAAGAGACATGTCCGAGTAGGAGATCAGGCTTCTCAAGATGATAAGCCAAAGACTGTGATCATCCCTCATTTCAACGTCCTCACAATCATAACCTCGGCCAAAATTGGACTGATTTCTGGAACGGCTCTCACATCCCCGATCGCCCTACTCTGCGCCATACGATCGCGTCCATGATATATCACCTACAGTTGGTGTTCTGCGGGGCTTCGATTCGTCAACAGATAGGTAAAAGATTGGCCTTCAGCGTATCCTCCACAGGGAAGCGCTCGTCTTGGAAGCCTGCATTGCTAGCTTTCATAAATCCGGGAGTATCAAGGCTCAAAGGAGAGAAAGGAGTATCGCACACAGGTGTGGTAGCGATATGCTGCGAGTCAGACCATGAGACAGATTATCCGTAAGACGTGAAAGGACCGAGTGGATATGTAGACTTGGGCCTTCCGATGGGAGAGTAGCGAAGTAAATGTCAAACACAGCCCATCGACCGCATGATACCAGGTCCTGCGCCCATCTGTGTTCGTGTACTCCATAACGTAAGTTATCCGCAAGGCTCTAGTTGACCAGTCGCCAAAATCCCATGGCTCCAAGCGTAAGAGCGATCGTCGTGATTCCTGCTTGTCGACTCTTCATTCCAAACATGCTCTTGCTTGCGAGAATCTTGGCTTGCTGTGCTTTCAGCTGCGAGTGTCCCGAGAAGTAGCTGTAAGCGCCCAAACCCATGAAGGCAGCAGCTCCTAGATATACTGTGAGTAAGGGGCTCGGGTGTGTAGCGATGAAGGCTGCTTAGACTTGCCCGTAACCCTACAAGGCGTACAGTCGTCGACACGATCGCGGTTGAGAGCCTCCTGTAGACTTTCGGGTCGTTGAAGCTCGTGCGATTTGGCATTCCCCATGGTCATCGCGTCTGGTTGTTTTATTGAGGTTGGTGTTGAATTGGTATTTGAAGCTGTGATGTTGGGTAGCAGAGCACATTTTCCCCAAAGAGGACCAGGAAGCAAGTGCAAGTGGGGTCCCATCACCACAGCCTCGAGCCCAGCCGCACTGGATACTTAAGTAAGAACCAACAATTCCACGATGCAATAACGTTGGCCTTCGATTAATCATGACCGGAGCTGTTGAGGCGCTCTACATCTACGACGAGCACACGTATGTATGCATCCACTCGCTTCGTTTCTCCTGTTAACTCTTCGCAGCCGTCCGATCCTCACGCATACCTACACCTCGAGACCTTTCTCGGCGTCCCAACTCCTTCCCCTCTATCAGGGCCACCCCCTCCCTCGTCCGAGCTTGATATATCTACCTAATACATCGCCGCCGACCCTGCTATTCAGCCTCACTCATTCGAACCTGCTGTTTCTCCTGACTTCGTCTTCCGAAATCGAACCTCTCCTCGCTCTCGAATTCCTCCACCGGATTATAGACATATTAGAGGAGTTTATTGGGACGCCAATCTTAGCGCAGAAGATTGAGAACAACTACGATGTCGTTGCACAGCTACTCAACGAGATGTGTGATGCTGGCGCCATCAGCACCACAGAACCCAATGCCTTAAGAGATCTGGTGGAAGTGGAAGGTTGGATAGGGAAGCTATTGGGGGGAATTAACATTCCTGGGTTTGCTGATCCTCTCTTGTTTGTGGCCCCAAACTGACTTTCATCTGTAGGAAACCTGGCTATTCTGCGTCGTCAAACTCAAACATGAGTGCTATATTGCATTCGGGAATATCAGCAGCTAACACACCAGCTTTGCCCTGGCGAAGAGCGAACGTGCGGCATACGTCCAATGAGCTATATGTCGACCTGGTCGAGACACTGACCGTGACATTGGCACCGTCGGGGAGACCTTTGGCGGCCTTTGCAAACGGCACCATTGCCCTTACTTCCAAGATCTCCGGAGTTCCAGATCTGCTGTTGAACCTCTCCACGCCGTCAGGCAAGCAGAATATCAATAGCGTTATGGAATTGCCGGTATTTCATCCATGTGTAAGATTGGCTAGATGGAGAGAAAAACCTGGGGAGCTGAGCTTCATTCCACCTGACGGAAGATTCGTTCTCGCTGGATATGAGGTGGACCTACTACCATTTCAAAATGGCAAATCTGGCTCTACCAGTGCTTCGAATTTGAAATTACCCGTCAATATCGAAGTCAAAACTGGTCAAGGTCCACAAGGGTCCGACTTCGAAGTCAGGCTTCTCATCACGAATGTCTCTGGACAGGGGAATACGTCGTTATCTGGGCCCTCCTCGAGAAGTAGCAGTCGAGTTGGTGGCCGTGGTGTCGGGGGTTTCTCTTCTGGACTAGGCGGTCAAGCAGGCACTTCTTCTACCCCCACGCTGGAGGATTTGGTGGTCAGAATACCGTTACCCGCGGACGTGAGGAATCTTTCTGAGATCCGAGCCAGCAGAGGCGATACGACTTATAATCCGGGGGAGAGAAATATTGAATGGCATATTCCTGCTAAGGATACTGTTGCTGGCGGTGCTACTTTGCGTTGCACCGTTGTCGGGCCATTGTCAATCGAGGAGGATTTTGAGTCTACTGGTTTCAGACTGGAGGGTGGCTACGACTATGAAGTAGATGCATATCAGAGCTCTTCGGCGAAATCCAAACCTCCGGAGACAGAAGAGCAAAGAGATGCGAAAAAAGTGGCTCAGAACAAAATTCTCATGCCAAGTTCTGCGATGGTCAGTTTCTCCGTCAAAGGATGGCTGGCCTCTGGGATCAAGGTGGAAAGTCTTGTCATCGACACGAGGAAGAGTCGAGGACTCGGTGAAGGTGTTAAGCCGTATAAGGGCGTCAAATACCTGACTGTCAGTAGAGGCGGCGTTGAGATAAGATGTTAAACATTGAGGAGCGGGCGTCAAGACACAAAAATGATCAACTCGAAATTTCATGGAACGTGATCATCCGAGCCAACATCAGGCATATTTTACGCAGCCCTTCGCTCTATGTTTCTCTCTCTCCCGCCAAAAGCAACCTCGATACTCTTCTAGTGCCATAAACCATATCATACCCCGAAAGGCCTCATCGAAGTTCAAAGATATCCAAGGTCTCTCGCCAAGGCGGCTGGACTTCTTATATCACACCTTCGTAATGTGTTCTATTTCAGTTATCAGCATTGCTTTTCAGCGTGCCGTGTCTGTGACGTCGGAGAAGTAGAGGGCACCAACCTTTCCATGTCTCCTATACCCCTGTGCATCTGTGTCTTCGCTATACTCTTCTGCCTTTCCCGCTCCATGGCTTCTCTTTCTTCAAACTCGTCGTCGGGGTTTTTTTCCACCATTGCTTCGATGTTTGATCTGGTCCCGTTGGTTAGCTCTCAAATCCTGGGCCCGGGTCTGAGTCACCCCCGATATAGAACACAACTTTACCTTCTCATATCACCTATTCCTCGCTGGGTCGTTGACTTGGCCATTTTCTCTTGTTTCGCTCTCTCTGCGGCATCTTTCCGCTCAAATCTCTCGGTCGCCGTTGTCTTCTGCTTCCCGCTTCGTGACTTGTGTGTGGATGTCGCGATCTTCATACCCTCCACATGACTCCTGTCAGAAATGTCAGTATTTATCGAGATCATAAGTATGTAAATGCGTAATTGTTGTATTAGTGTGCAAAGACTTGCCTCTCCATAACACCTATCCGTCTGTTCATCATCGTTTTGATCGTGGAATCCTGCCTCTCTCTTTCTGCTTCCTCGTTCCTCACGAAAGCCGACGATAGCTCTTCGTCGCTGTCTTCTTCCTCAGCTACCTTCGGAGTTTCCTCGACCTTCTTCACCTTCTCCTCGGTCAGAGGGGAAAGTGCAGGTCGTAGGGTGCTTGTCCGGGACAGCCCTGCCTTGGTCTTCCCAGTACCTGCCCTGCTTCGGCGTCCAGGGTTGCAGGTTTTTTGTGCCTGGCTCGTCTCTGATCCGCGGCCGGATGCACTGGGTGTTCTCTTGTCGGATGATGCAGGCTTCTCGCTCTGTATTCTAGGCTCTACATCATTGGAACTAAGCACATTTCGCAGAGGGCTCGGTGGTACTCTTTTCTTAGGGCCACTATCTGCTCGATCTTTTTGCGGCCGCTTTGGCCTTCCCTCGCTCCCTGGCTTCGCAACTTCTTGCTGTTGACTTGCCATGCTACTTCTCCCTTCCGAAGAAGGGGGCGAGTGAGCACTGCTTCTTCCCTCGTTCAACTGGCTTGCGATACTGCTGCTTCGTCTCTTGGATTTGAGGCGCGACTGGCTACCTGCTCTCTCGCTAGATTGGTAGACAGAGCTAGGTCCATTCGATCCAGTCTCGGATTGCCGTCTCCTGCTGCTCGCAACGCCACTGGACGATTCAGAGTACTGCGCCGGAACTGGACGGCTTCTCTCAGAGTTTGAACTATGAACAGCGTTTTTACGCATTTGTGCTTGTCCGTACTGACTAGGTTCCGTGCCGGATCTCTCAAGCCCGGGGCGAGCTGGCGAGGCTATATTCCCCTGCGAACCTGCGGAAAATGAGGCATTGGGAGCTCGGAAGCTTTCTCTATCGACAGACTCTTCTTCTGACACTTCCTGCTGGGGCTCCACTTTTTGGCTCTCCTCGGGCTCTGGCGTGCGAGATGCAGAACGTGGAGAACGTGATCCGTTCACCCTCTTTTCGATTCGCTGAATCCTTCTCTGCTGCTCTTCATACTCTCGCATAAGCTCGTCGGCTCTATCCTTTGCTCGTTGAAGTTTCTCCCTGTCGTCGATCACTCTCCATCGTGCCGCGTTAGCCTACAGCTTGGTTAGTACTTCTGGCTGAAGGGACGTGGCCCAGCTGCCAGGGACGTCGGCAAAAACATGAGGGAGGGATACAGTAAGCAGATCAAGCGCAGGCTGAGGGCAGTGGGATAACTACTTGCTATACTCGCATCGACTTCGCTTTCTTCGAATGGGGATTGACGGGGAGGGGAGTAGAGTATTTGGGCTTACCTCTGGCACGGGTTTTCCTCGCGTCCTTGAAATCGTTTTTTGATGATTCCTCACTGGGTTCTCTGTGCCTCTGGTCTTCTTCTCTTTCTTCTTCTTCTTCTTGTTCTTCTCCTTCTTCTCCTTATTGAATGGGTCGTCCGAAACTTCTTCCTTCTTGGGGAAAACAGCTTCTTCCATCGCGGATCCAAAAGAAAAAGAAAAAAGAAAAAGAAAAAAAGGCCGGATCGTCTGAGTCGTGCTTATCTATTAGGAATAAAGAAGATTTCCACCGCGACTCCAAATCGCACAACGGCAGCAATGATCCGGAGAGGGTATGTTTAGCGGCGCTGGGGGCTTCGGTATGTTTGGTATGGCGATAGTCTCTATTGTTGAGGACTCCCGGAGAGGTCCGAGTCGTCTTCTGTGGCCGAGGATGCGTTCGGTTCAATTACCGACGGGCCTATGACCCAGATAGTTGTCTTTTCCAAGTCGCTGAAACCTTTCTTCACTCCATCCCGTCCAAGGCTTTTGAATAGAGATAAAAAGCCCCGGGTCTCGTCCTCGCGCCTGCTCCGAACGACAGTCGTCTCGGTTACGCGAAATGCCGGCTCTACGGCACGCTTATCCTATCCTACACTTCGGCCCCTTTTCGTTGTTGCCGGTGCTGTCTGGTGCGACGTTCTGTCAAGACCTCTTTTTGCGACTGGTGCGATGCGGGCTTTGCGTATCGTTGAAGGAGTGTGTTCGGCTCTGGTTTTGAGGACACAGGGTTGAGGCAGGTTGGTCAAGTCATCCATGAAGGGGTGCCTCATGCTATGTTGAGTGCGGTTATGTGTCACCCGCTGCTTACTGGGATGGGAATGGTATCTCTACTCTCGATCACTTCCACGGATGGACATTCACAGACTGAGAAGTGTCGGCCATGGTGAACCTGGAAACGATTCCTGTGATCTATCACTGCGAGGATAGATGGCATGCATGATTGATCTCTACTGTCGCGGTGGGTACATGCACATTGGGAGCCTGGCTAGACACGTTTCTGGTCATTTGAAGATCGCATTTGAATTGCTTCGATATATATATATGTCCAAGAGAGAAGAGCACATCTCTTCAATCTGCATCCACATATGTTGCTAACAGCAGGCAGGACTTTCTTGCATTGGAACTATTTCGCAGCTCCACAGCACTCACTCCAACAACCAAAACCCATCGAGCCAAATAAACGCCTATTTCCAGAAAGTTTTCCTCTTCTGCCACGGCTTGAGCGGCTCTCACCATCCACGATCGGTCTTCTGGAGGAGGAGGCGATATTCTTCCATCTGCCTCTCTCTCCTCACAGCATCCGCTTCTTCGGCTGCCACTTCGCTGGGAGTCATCGATACCATGCCTTCGTAAATCGTCCTCGCCATATCTCCAACATGGGATTGAGATGTCACTACGTGCGCCCCAGAGCTCGGCAGTGCTGTCTCTTGATGTGCAGAACGCCGAGCAGACCCCGGCGAACTTGATCCTGGCCGTGATCCATTCCCTGGCTCTCCTTCTCCTTCGCCTTCGGACACACGTCCTGCTTTTGGTTGGGGAGTGAAAGATCCGTGAGAGAGGGAACAGTCAAAGTACGTTTCTGCTTCGTCTTCTTCTTCTCCGCCTCTCTCGCCTTCGGGAACACGACTTGCTCTTGGTTGGGAAATTAAAGATTCGTCAGAGAAGTAACCGTTAAAGTCTAGTTCTACTTCATCTTCTCCTCCTCTTCCTCTCTCGCCTTGGGGAACACGCCTTGCTCTTGGTTGGGAAATGAAAGATCCGTCAGAGAAGTAACCGTTAAAGTCTAGTTCTGCTTCATCTTCTCCTCCTCCTCCTGCTGCTGCTGCTGGACCAGACCGAGCTCCTTGAGAGTCATATCTCGGACCCTGGGTACTGGACGGGCATGATACAACGTATGGCTGCCGCATTCGAAAGCTGCGAACGGCCGGTACTGGATAGGAATCGCGTTGAGACCGCATCCGAGACGGTGGTTGGCTCTGAGGATTTACAAATGGTGGCTGGCGGAGACCTGCTGTGATGAATCTGTCAAATGAAGGGGGTAGGCCTGAAATACTATTGAACAAGCGTTGGTCGTCTCCTGGTCTGCTGATGTTGCAAAGAGGAGACTGTGGTCGAAATCCACTTCGAGGGCTCGAAATTGGACGACTGCCTCGGGTATGGTTCCAAGAGGGAGAAGCTCCCTGCAAAGGCAGGGCTGGTGGAGAAGTAACCTGAATGAAAAGAGGTGTGCGCTCGAGACATTCAGGAAAGGTGCCGCTTGGTTTGATGGGCGTCGTGGCAGCTCCCTCCATCGGAGGATGTTGGCTCGGTTGCAAAGAGCCTTGTGGACGACCAGAGCGGTGTGAGGCGTTAGACATGGACTGCAAGTGCCGCCCGGGGGATCTGGGTAGATAGGTCGTTGGTATGAAGCAACAGTCACAGTCACGAACGAGTATAATCGCCCTGACCTCTCTCTCCCTCTCTTTCTCCTGTCGGCTACGGGCTTTCCGCTCCTGTCGCTCTCGCCGCTTCCTCTTCTTCTTCTCGTTGCCGCCGAAAAAAGTGTCCAACGCCTCGTGGATGGGGTCGTAGCACACCATGTTGTTCTCTGAGATGAGTATGGGTAATTGAGTAGGGTCAGGGGCTGGGGATGTTTTTAAGGTTGCTTATTTCCCCAGCTTCTTCCTCCGAGTCCAGAGAATTTGTATGCAGTGACCAGACTATTTATCAGATACATTCGGGTTATTGAATGACCGAATGGCGATCTGGTGTTGAGTGCGGATCACAGGGCTGTTGTGAATCCGCCACGGCTCAAGGTATTGCATCTTTGTAGCACTGACTAGACGGAAGTCATCTTGTTCCCATGTCACCACCAACAAACGACCGCCAGCCGCGAAGGAGCGTACATGATTCACAGCTTTCACTTGCTCACAATCCTGTCAGAGTTTGTAACACGCAGGAGCAGGCCGTAACCGAGCCGGTAAGTAACGCGCAAGCTCGATCACGATCGACAACGCCGCCAAACCTACCAGTGGGCAACTTCTTAATTCGTACTTTATCAAGCTTCATCATACATTCCGCATTCATGAAATCACCTACCGTCTCTCACCGTCTGACCCCAAATCAACGCAATTATCCATATAGCGTGAAACTTTCTTGTTGGTAACCAAAAACACGAAAATCAGAGGTCGTCGAAAAAGTGGCCTCACTGCCGAGGACTGCCACTTGATAAAAGGGGAAACCCTCGCTTAGCTTCTTTCTTCTCTCCTCCCCGGGTATGGGTGGCGTCTTCGCTTGAGGTCAGTCAACGTCAACACCATATTCAGTAGTGCACATAGCGTAAATTTTTCGCTCTCAGACCTCCCCACTCTATTCTCTACCGTACCTCGCCATAGAGGAGATACGACCCTATCACATCGCCGCAGCCGATAATTAGCGAGCGAAAAACACCCGTGATCATCATCTCCCCGAGTTTGAAGTTCTGAGCCTGGCTCTCTGCATGTCAAGGGAGATGGGTAAGTAGATGATAGACCGGGACAGTTCTTCCCGTTTTCCTACTGACATCTCTACGCATCCGGTAGGTGGAACCTGGATGCAATGCCAGGAGAGCTGGTGGCGAGACATCGAGTCAAGCACGGGTCAGTGGACTACGGAAAGCAAGCCCCTGGGTCGAACACCGGGCTTTGACTGCGCGGGGGCGTGAAATTGCGAGCGAGCACCTACCCCCGCCAACCTCCACCGTCTATCGGTCGCTAGCTGGCTCGCTTGGGTTGAATCCCTCAGTGTGTTTGTCGTTCATGGGAGCTCGGTCCTTGTGGTCTTGAAACCTTCCCTGACGAAACTGTCCACGAGTGCGTCCCAGGTATAGCAGGAAGGCAGGCAACGAGCGGCCTGACGGTTCTGCTCGCTGGCGTGGCACATACGCTCGCTAATGGTTGTTTACTATCTCGGGAGATGGCTACGGCTACGGCTGTAGCCAGCCCCCGGGCCAACATGATGTTTCTGATCCATCATGCATGAGGCTAGTGCTTCTAACTCGCGCGTCTTTCTCGGTCTGTCTGCCCAGAGCTGGCTTGACTCTATCTACACTGTTCTACGGAAGCTTCCGCAATCAGGTGCCGATCAATTGAGCTGGACGCAATCATGCTCTGTTGATTATCGCCGGGCAACCTCGTGCAGAGAGAGATATAGATATAGATATAGATATAGATATAGGTATAGATATAGATATAGATATAGATATAGATATCTATATCGATATCATAAGTACTCTTCCCCCGGCTGAAGCGTTCCAATCCCACCACTGGCACCAGCCGCACCCGGCCGTAACACATCCTCCAGCATGCCACGAATAGTACCGGTACACACCTCCAGTGCTCGAGCAGCAGACTGGGCATCTCCCAGCTGCTCCCTCCCCTCTCGCAGCTCCAGCTCCCCAGATGCGCGGAGCGCCTACGAAGAGTACCTAACACAGGGCCGATTGCCGCCATCTCGCCACCAGCGCCAACAGTGGCCGGCACCGACCGGGCCCCTCAACGGCGAATGAGCATCTACCTCCCAGGCGAGTTGTTCCGCAGCAGCCACCCCACCTATCCCCCGTGTCGCGGGGTGATTCGGCCGTTGTGTCTCCCTCCCTTGCCTACCCCCACCGGTCAACGGCCAAGAAGAGGTAGACCGAACAAACTCGGGCTCTACGCATCTCATCTCGGCGTCAAACAGCGTCGAGGAGAAGCCGCGGCCGCGGCCGCGGCCACGGAGAGGCGATGCTGGCTCCACCGATCCAGGCGCATGTATGTAACACACGCACACACGCACACATACATACATACATACATACATACATACATACATACATACATACACACATGAATGAAGCCTACCGAAAGTCAACGCTAGCTGGCTGGCCGCCCCGACCGGGTTCGCCGGCGTCGAGATGATATTGTAGCGCAACCATGATGTGCGTGCCAAAACTCCAACGGACGGAGAGGGTGGGAAAATAGTATTTATTGGTTATACATACAGATCGCACGTAGCACTGAGCGAGCGAGTTACCCAACTCAGTACGTTCATTTTATGACTTTGTCCACAGGTGGTGGTACCCGGGGGGAGAATAACAAAGTAACACACGAAGATGAGATGGACATGGAAAACATCTCAATTCTTTCACATCATCCAACAGAAAATATGGTCTATCCCAAGCCCGTTTATGTGCGTTTTGCCCGGCCGATCACCGCCACCACCACCACCTCTACCCGTGCAACGCCATACTCGTACATTCCAAGTAGCTGTCCTACTCAACGAAACACAATCACACAGCAAGGATATCTTCAACACCAGTCCACTGCCCCTTGGTCCTCTCTTCCCAATAACCCTCTTTCCCACCCTTCAACCTCCACACTTCCTCGCCCCCATCCCCATCCTCAACTTTTGTAAACCATCGGGGCTTATACACAACACCGCTCTCCTCCATCCCCGCTCTTCGAGATCGCTGGCTCTCCTCCAGGGTCGCCTTCAACTTCTCCGCCAGGTCCAAATTGCCTTCTTCAGCTGCCCTCTGATCAGGTCGTAGCCGACTGTCCGTGGGAGGCAATTTGCCCTTCTCCAACCCCGTAATCTCGTTCAAGCTGGCAGCGAAAACTGTAAAACCATAGCGGCTCGGAGCGTTATCAACCAAGTCGCCCACTTGCCAGATCCGAGGGCCTTTCGCCTTCCCACCTTCCGTAACCTGTAGATTCGATGTCCAATTCCCTACCATACCAAGACCCGTTGATGAGCCATCCGCATTGTAAGAAGCAACCTGGACTTCCTCACTACGACCTCCAAACATGCCCTTTTGCTTGAACTCCACAATCGCTTTGCTACCGGCAGTTTCGTTCATCACAGTCATGTTTCCAACAGGCTCAACATATTTCTCGCCGACGACCACATTGCGCAGGAATGCAGTAGCAGTGTTCCAGCTGTAGAGCTCGTCGCTGCCGTCAGGTAGGTGTAACACAAGTCTCGCCCGGCCTTCTGTGATAAGCTCTGCGCTTTTCCCCCAGAACTTTTGTGTTGGTGCAGGGGATTGCGTAAATGACCAGCTCGCAGAGTCGGCTTGACAGGCTATGCGCACCGGGCGATGGGAGACCTTCTCGACCAGGATTCTTAGCCCACCGGGGACCTCACTTTCCGACCTAACTAGCTCAAAAGTCTCCCCCAGCATAGGGTTGAAAGGCTTTCGGATAGCACGCTCTTTAGCACGATTCATGCTGAACTGAGAGACAGCAAACGCAGTGACGTGTAAGAGGCGCTGAGTTGAAGCCTTTTGGGACACGGCCGCGTTGAGGAGTGGCGCATACTCCATCTGTTCGGCAACACGTTGGAGCAGCGAAAGAGGCTCGTTGGCGCTGACGGGCATGCTGATTGTACTCAAGTCCTTACCTACGTTCTTGCGAAGAAACGTGATTAAGCTGGGTGGCATTACTGTCGCTACAGGGACAGTCTTCCTCCGTGTGACTGTGGTTGAGATAGGTAGAGGATCCAGCATCTTGGGTCTCACTGGGAACAGAGCCGCTTTGCCATTCAGGTGGGTCGAATTCTCTTCCTCCTCCGAAGAAAGAGACGACGCATCGGTAATGAAATCGTCATCTGCTTCTGATGGCTGGGCATCTTCATCACTTCGCCGATCGATGAGGACCACCTGAGAACGATCCAAATCGCCAGGCTCTGCATCGAAGAACTCTGCCGTGGATGTAGAGTCTACACTGTTCCTCGAGGCCGACGGCGGAGCTTGCATTCTGCGGCGTTTACTGTTACTCAAGAGTGTAGAGAAGTCATTAACAACAGCATCGAGGTCGTTCATTAGCGCGGTGCAATTTTCATGCAGACTGGGCTCCTCTCTAGCCAGAGAATTCCTAGATTTTAGCTCAGGTGTCCCGTTGGAAATGACTGTGGTCAGGGGAGACTGAGAAGGTACGGCAAGTTGGGAAGTAAGACCCGTGGGGCACGTTCGCGGCGTTGTAGGAGCGCTAGGTTTCCGCTTCCAAAACGGCCTCTTCTCAGGGACTGCAGCCAATCCGAAATAATCAGATCCATCGTCGGCATTTGGGCTCAGAGCGGAAAGTCCCAATCCTTGCAAGGCGTTCTTTTTCCCAGCGGCAGCGCCTGGCGCAGTGTCCTTGCAAAGTCTCCTGACAGCATCTCGAGTACCAACGATCCTACTCACGAGCGTCTCTATCTGATCCCAGTCTCGATCATCAGCTTGATTTGAAACAATATTAGGCAGGCCAGACGTTCGAGCTCTTAGGTGGTCGGGAGCGGACACCAGCTCGGGCTCAGCAACTCCTGTTCGGGCACTATGGCTTGCCATTTCCAGAGCTCTCGTCCAATCTTCGAAATCCTTGGCTGTACTAGCCTTCAGATGCCAAATCTCTGCTCCAGAATCGATACTAATTTCTCTCCGTCTTTCATCCGCAGCGATAGCAGCCAAGCTCAAAGGAATAGCTCCACGAAGAGCAGAGCAATTTCGGTTGTAGTAATATGATAACGTGCAAGATGCGAAGTCCAGAGAGAAGAACCTGCGAGCATAGCCTTGTCCACGTTTCCGCCGTCTCTTGGATAGAACGCCTACATGATATGTTGGTGATCCATTGTCGCTGTCCAGTCCAGCAAGTGAATTTCCTCTGCTTTGACTCTGTAGACTTTCCACAGACTCAGAAGTCACAGCACCGACTTTAGGGCTAGAACTCTTCCCAATGCTGCCGATACCAGTCGTAGCCATAGAGCTCGGAGCTCCTTGTTGATGATGTGTAGCATGCGGAGGCGCATTCGTAGGGTAAGTCAGAAGGACGAGCGTCGCAGTCTTGGAAACCTGCTTCGAGAAGGTATTGTCAAACACAAGACCATACATTCCTCCGTTATATGCAGTCACAGCATAGGTCCCCATGGACACTTTGTCCGCCTCGCATTTCCCGTACCACTGGATCGGAAGGAAGCCCTTCGCTCTCAGCTGTTCCTGGGCCGTCGAGGCATCATTCCGCATATTGGAAGGGCGTCTGCGGGAGTCGGCAGCAGCGTCCGTAGGGAGAAGTGAACTAGATGTTTCCTCGAGGGCTGGGGATGCCGTTGGGATTCCATCCTTGCTTGTGCCTGGGTGTTTGAATATGCCAAAGTTTCTGGAGCAACGCTGTTAGCCCTTACAGGATTAGGTGCAGATAGACATGGCATGGCGATGATCCTCACATGGATTTCTTATGCGGCTGAACGCTCCATGAAATAGTATGCCCCTCATCCACCTTAACCCAGCGAACGATGTACGACTGTCCGGATCATTAGTTTCCTCTTTGTATCCCACCTGGCGACCATAGAAGCTATGCATACCTTGCTATGAATCTCCAGCTGCTCCAACCCGGCCATTGCGCAGAAGATCCGACGAAAAGGCGCGAATGGTACCCAGCGTAGATGTGAAGCTGTTATTTAAAGACAGAGGGCGTGCAACAACGGCCGCCAGAGTGCTTGGATTTCCGGCGGGATGACCGGAGACTTATGGATTTGCTCGAGGATTCAAGTTGCTCGACGTTGTCCATAAGAATAGAGAAAATATGGCGGAGGAAGGCAGGTGTCCGATTTGTAGTTGTCGTGAGGGTGGTGATAGTATGATTTTCTGTATGAGTTATGTTGTTTACTTAGCTTGATTTTCTTTGCTTCGACCTGCCGACTTGACAGTACGGACGGCCTAATGCCTGATTATTAATGAATGCACGAAGTAGGCAAGGGCTGAGCTGTGCACGGCGAGGCTGGTACCGGTATGCAGGTGGCAGGGCGGACAAGAGTTATTATACTGTAGAGGACAGTAGGTCATGTTTTACAAGATATATATTTATATGTATCTAATTATAGGCATATAGGGCTCTCCCGTATCCTCAAACGACCATGTCCTCGGCGATTTGGCCTTGGTCCTAAGAAGGGTCCGTGCACCGTCACCTGATAAAGAGCGTCTTTCCTCCGCGGTTCGCAATTGGGACACCTCCATAGTTGGCATCGCGTCGCTATTCCGCATTCTGATCCAACGCGACCGTGTCGAGATTCGAGGTCTGAGCATGCATGCCTTCAGATGGAGTCAAAGGTTGCCTAGGTAGGTCGAGCGACAGGTAGTGGTAGTGGCCAGCCTTGGACGGGCCAACGCGGAAGGGGAGGTTTTTGTATTTCTCATCGACTTTCATGGGAGACGGCTGGGCGAGTATATCACGCCTCTTCGGGCTACAATACCCATCGCAAACAAGAAATAAGATTCAAGAGACACATTCAATCATCACCATCTGCATCGTGTTAATATCAACTCCATCCCTATCAAAATGAAGACGAATGCTTTTCACCCCTTTAAATGCGTGCCTTTCCCATCACATCCCGTCCCGCCGTGCTGGGCCGGGTCGGGCTGGGCTGGCTGGGCTTTAATATAATACAGACTGGAGAAGGATTCAATGCCACCTATCTAAACTCCCCCCGTCCCATACCCCAACCCAACCCCTTCCGTCCCGCGATGTGTACAGTATCATGTCCTATGCCCTCTTGATCGCCTCGGTCTGGTGTCTGATCTTGAACCCATTGCATAGCGCTCTCATGTCCGGGTATTGGGATTTCTGGAGCTCGAATGCTTTGGGTATCACCCGGACTGGCCATGCTTGGGGACGTCCCAGGTGCCCAGCCTTGAAGCAAAGATGGAAGTACCCTGGATGTCGAGTGTCCAAACAGAATGCATAGACGGATCGTTTCGGGTTGGCTTCGGTGTAGGTGGTCAACCATTTTTCTATGGTTCCCAGTGTTAGTAAAAATGCCTAGATAAAAAGATTCGAGGTTCGTCTTACCCGTGTCAGCTCGACTCCCGCTTTGGAACTTGTCATGGTCCATGATTTCAGCCACCTTCTTGGACATGGCTTTGACGTGATCTACAATAAGCTCGTCCAAATCAGTGTAATTGACGTTTCCGATTCGGAGAATACGCCCCAGGGAGAATTCATTCTCTTTCTGCAATTCGAGGACATCGATGTGTTGATACACACCATCAGCCACCTTCCAAGTGACGGCAAGGTGGTCATTTCCTTTCGAGGAGGGACGCACAACGGCATCTCCAGCTGACTGGGAACCAAGGTATTCTTCTGCTTGAGTGGAGTTGAATGGTCGGAACAGAGGGTGGTTCACGACTCGCTGAGTTCGACCGGTAGCCCTGTCCTTCTCTCGTAGCTCCTCCTTGTCTTTTTGCTCCTGGAAAGAATCCCAGGATCCAGGGTCATGGTCGATACGTTTTCGGAATGGGATCCGCAACATCTGCTGGCGCAGAGAGAGTCGTGCCGAGAAGTTGTGTCGGTCCAACTCCAGAAGTTTGGCCTGAGTAGTTTGGCCAACGGAAAATATGCGGTTGAGAAAAGTGTCCCCGGTATCAGAGCCTTCTTGCTGTTCGACTCGACCTTCGATACCGGAGTCTAGCTTGGCAATGATAAAGTCTTCCTTGGCCACACGAATGTTGACTGATACAATCATTCCCTCGCACAGTGACTCTGAAGTTTCACCAGTGAGCATAGTGAAGATTTCGTTGTCGGTCAGGATAGAGAAATTTCTCCTCAACTCTTCGTAGGGTTGCTGAAGCTCCGCACGAATAGTCTCGAGCGTAGCTCGCTTTCGCTGATTGAAATTCCGCTCCAGTTGCTCGGCGTACTCTTCTAAAATGAGATCGTTGACTTTTTCTTGATCATCCCCCTTGATAAGTTTGCGAACAATGGCTCCAGGACCGCCTTCATCGACTTCGGCCTTTACATCTTCTTCGTCTAATTCTAAGGCATCGGCAGCCATCTTACGACCAAGCTCGTAATCTTCGGGATGGACCCGAGTATTGTCAAGGTAGTCGGACGCTTGATTCGAGCTGTCGTACTCGATCGATAAGAAACTGGCACAGTTGTTCCAGACCCTCGGCCCAACAACGGGAAGCTTGCCACTGTCGGGATCACCGACCAACTCGTCTCGAGTGTTCACAACGCCACCATTGGCATTGATAGTCTTCAATACGGCGGTCGCTTTCCTCGGACCGAGACCGCAGACATACGGAAGTAGTGCAGCCGTGTAAGAATCTGCAATAGCTTCGTTGATGTCGACACCACAGAGATTGACCATGTCGACCATAGCCGTCTCAAGCTGTTTTCGGAGCTTTTCCTCGGGAAGGAGCTGTTGGCAGGGATGGAAAGACAATGAGACAATGTCTCTGCCCAATGCGGCGTATTCCTTCATCGGATTCTGCAGATATTTGGCCAAAGCAACGCAGTACTTGGTGAGAGCGGGGAATGTTGGGTGGTCGATAGCAGCGCGTGCGCTGTCCTTATACAGTCGAGCCACTTCGTCGTTTACAACGATAATCTCGAGGGGTTCGCTTCTTTCATCGCCAGTCTCAGTATCCTCGAACTCAGCACCCCTCAAGCCTCTCTCTTCGACCAAGTCCCGGAGACTAGCGATGAGCTTGTGTGTGTCCACCGAGAATCCACTGACGCCTAGAACATCCGGCTTCCTTCTCTGGATCAGTTCGACAAACTGTTCTCGGGAAGTCTCGTTGCGGGTGAGATTATCAAACTTGCCGTGTTCCAGAACTCGGCCATCTTCCTCTACCCAAGCCCAGCAAACGGAATCCCGAGCGGGATCCATGTCCCCATTCGACAATGCCAGGACTCGGGGAATCGTGCCGAGCATCATACCCATTGGTTTGTAAGGAGCTTGGTCCAGCTTTTTCGAGTAGTCCTCCCGACAAATCTTGAGAACGGAGTCTTGACACTCGGTTCTCATGCTCTCCTTCACACCTTTCGTGATGACTTTCTCCAGCTTGGTAAATGCCAAGTCCAAAACCTTCTGACGCTCATCGTTCCATGCATCTGCAAGCTCGCTGAAATTGTCTGACGCAAATTCGGAGAAGAGCTGCTTCCGGAACTCTTGCTCGTTCTGTAGCGACACTTTGACTTCAATGAGGCCTTCCTCTTCGGCCTTGAGCATCTTTAGAAAAATCTCAGGCTTGTTCGCGATGTCGCTGAAGGTCTGGTTCTTCAGGTACTTGAGCTCGTAGTATGGGTGTTGCTCGTCAATCTTCCTCAGACCCTTATCCGTTCTTCGGCAATCGACCACGCCCATCATGTAGTAGCTCATCCGGAAGTGCTTTCGCATGCGAGGATTCATGAATAGCTCCTCAGCGAACATTTGACGGGCAGCCTGGAGTATCTCATCGCCAGTTCCAAACTCGCTCTCATGGACCAGGGAGTCTGCGAGGTCGATGGGAGTGAGAGAAGAGTCTTCAGCGTATTGCTTTCTTCCCTCTTTCAAGGCGTTCTGAGCGACTAGGTCAGGGGTGATTCCATATGCCCTGACAAGGTTATAAGCCTTGCCCTTCCGGATGCGATCATACATGGATGATTTGCCGCCCGGACGACGCTTTTCCTTGACCTCGCCGTTGGTAGCAGCCAAATCCTTGATCTCGGAAGAATACTGGAAGTATATAAAATCCTGGATATCCTGCAATTCTTCCATTGTCACGGCCATGGGCAACATTGCCTCTACCATTGGGTCGTCCACGCCGGCAGCGAGCTTTAGATTGTCGTATGTCTTCTCGAGGACATTGCGTTTTTCGATGAGAGCTCGGAACTTGAGGTCCAGTTCGAGAACACGCCACAGGTCGTCTTGGTTGAGAAGCTTTTCGGCGCTGACAACGTAGTCGTCCTGGCCGTTCTTATCCCGAATTCGAGTCTTCTTGGCATGAATCAAATAATCTTTGCGATGTTGGAAAACATAGGGGACTTCGACTTCATCAACTACGAAAAATTCCAAGACCTTGCCAATGGCTCTGGTGAATGGGAGCCGGAGATCGCTATGCAACTGCTTCTTTGGCCAGATGAGGTCGGTTATCCAGCGGGCTTCCTCCTTGAATTGTTCATCGGTGATCTGCAAACTTTTGTATGGTAATCGGTCCAGTTGAAACCGCTCCGGCTCGTCTGCCCACCGAATTTGATTGTCCTCGTCGGTGAGAAGCTTTTCTGCCAGCTGAGATGGCTCAAAGACGTCCTTCAGCTCAAGGTTGTGATCCCCGGCTTCTCTTGCTTCGGCCTCGTCCTCCAGAGCTAGAGCCCAATCGTAATCCTCCCCATTGCCGAAGATGGCCTCCATGTCATCCAGAGCATCCTTGTCGAGCCCGGAAGCTTCCGTGCCAGCAACATATGCTCGATCTCTTGGACGTGCCACTTCTCTCTGCTCCTGAATTCTCCGCCGTTCATCCTCGTCCTCGAGCTCATCCTCTTCAATGAAGCCATCAAATTCATCAACTCTACTTCCCCGGCCAAACCCTCGGTCCTGGTCAGCGCCTATGTCAAGATCGTCGTCGTCGGAGAATATCTCATCCAAGCCGCGCTCTCGATTCAGGTCGTTGTCGTCTCGGTGTCCACGCTTGAGGCGCTTGAATTTTGGCTGGGGAGTGTTAGATAAGCCACGAGTAGGAGTTCTGCGATAGCATACCTGTGTAGCGGCCTTGCGTTCCCATTCAGGGTTTGCTTCCCCAATGAGATCCAGATCTTCGTCATCTAAGGCTGCCTCCTCCTGCTCCCGCTCTGCGCGATTCCGCTTCTTGCGCCGCCGTCGCTCTCGTGCTGCGTCTTCCTCGTCGTCATCGTCCTCTATGATGAAGCCCTCGCGGACCTAGATCCATTAGCAGGTTGGCTCGGCCACAAACATAACGATGTGTCAACATACCGCACGCTGTGCCTCCTCGTCGTCGTCGTCTTCTTCCTCGCTCGAGTCATCCAGAGCGGGGTTGCCTGGTTTTCTGGGTCTGACTTCGCCCGTCTCCTCATCGAAAGAATCGTCGTTCTCCTCATCATCAATCTCGGCCTCCCCCGAAATCAGGTCTCGCATGCTCATTGTTGCGGTCCAACGGGCCAGGGAGGAGAAAAGAATTGAACAGTCGCAGAAGGTAGAGGGTGGAGGGGGACTGGGAGTTGAGTCGGGTACGACAAGGCGAGGTGAATAAGTGGCTGGCTAGCCCCGAGGGGTGAGCTGGTGTGTGAAGTCGAGAAGGTCGTTGGGGGTTGAATTTAAGAAATTCTTTCAGCCGCGTCTGGGTCGACCGCGATCTTGAGCTCCAGAGTACCTTGGCCCTGGCCCCTGCGTAGCTGAGTCAGCATCCATCACCTCTGAGAGAGGTGTGAAGTACGGAGTAGTTGTATGCTGTATGTAGGTATAGCATCCGCAGAAACTAGGTTTTTTTTTTTTTTTTTTTTTAAGCCCAACTACCAATTTATCTGGCGTAGTATATCTTTATCTTACCTTACGAGGGAAATCAGGTGATGTGGTAAAGCGTCGATGTTCCGTATAACAGATCACGTGAACCTTACAGACACACACATACCGGTACACCTGTCAAGCGTCACGTGACACCTCTCTCTCTCTCGTCTCGACCTAGCCAACGTCTGGCGAGGCAGACCACAATCGAGTTGAAAGAAAGACGTTGAAAGAAAGACATCAAGGATACCCTTATTCCCTTATTCCCTTATCTTCTTCTCGAATGTTATAGACTTCCCGACAGCTGTGTCAATTAATCTGCTGCTGGCCCCGACTCAGCCAGCCAAGCTTGGGCATGGACATGGACATCGAGTACTGGTACCGCTACCTAGTCTTCAATAGTCCCTTTCCCGTTAATCCAATCAATAATAGAAGTATTTGACTTGTTACTTGAAGCTATTATGTAAAGCTTGCCCCTTTCATTGATTCTTGTACTTCCATGAATCGTATATGTATTCACGTACCGGTACCGTATTGATGGATGGTGGATGTCTCTATGTCTCGATGTTGGTCTGTATATATGTCCATATCTTATATGTCCATATGTCCACATGTCCATATCGTACATATACTTCGAATCTCTTCACCTTCAACTGTTCATTGGCCTTTGCATCGACCTAACTTTGCTCTGTCTCCCTCTCTCTCTCCCTCTCCCTCTCCCTCTCTCTCCGCCCTCTCCCTCCCTATCTCTTCAGCCCCCCCCGCACAGTCCTACCTTGGGTTCTTCCTCTTACAGAACTAGACGGTCTGGTATCACCGAACACTGTCCGAATCGCATTGAAACAGAACACGAGCTCTAGGGTACCCTTCAACTGTGCGACGAATGTAACTGCAACTGGGCAACTCTGCAACTGCAACGGCATCTGCAACCTCTTCTGCAACCCTCCCAAAGACCTCCTAGATACCCACCCAACCAATCCTAATACTTTCTGGCCTGGGACTACTACGCCTATATCACTTTTCGCTACCTGTTCTGTTCTCATTCACATAGAGCTCCATCCGTCACCCATTTGCCTCCTGGCCTCACAGCCCGCCTCGCCTTGTCTTCCTCCTACGGGCGTTTAAACTGCCGCCAGACGAACCGCCCCTCTATACCAATTCAACTTCCAACACCATTATCAACACCAACAACAACACCAACACCATCATTCAAACTCCCCGTTCGATCCCCCCCTGTTTTTCAAACTCCTCACAATCTACCAGAGCCTGCCGACATGTCAGACGCCATAGGTTCGGTGCGGACTCTCAAGAGGAAGAACGTCAAAGGTCTGGCTCTGGCTGCTCCTGCCCCGCGGCCAGCAGCACCGTCTGAGAGCGGATCCCAGAATCCCGGCGGCAATAACAACGAGAATGCTCGGCAGTCTGCACAGCTGGAGATTGGGATTGAATACAAGCTGGACTTGAAGAGGGAAGATTTAGAGGTGTTGAAAGACCTGGGCCACGGCAATGGAGGCACCGTCAGTAAAGTCAGGCATATGGCGACGGGGACAGTCATGGCGAGGAAGGTAAGGCGAGGCTGGCAGGATCCGTGGTGGCACCTTGAGTTGAGTGAGTGCATGCTGATCGGTTTCTTCTCCACCAGGTTATCCATGTCGAAGCTAAGAAGGAGATGCGCCGCCGAATCGTGAGGGAACTCCAGATTATGCACGATACCAACTCCGAATTCATTGTCAACTTCTATGGTGCTTTCCTGAGCGACACCAACGACGTTATTATGTGCATGGAATACATGGATGTTGGGTATGAAATGAGAAAGTCGTGCCAAAGCCCTAAGCGCATGCTAACTCAAATATGCTAGATCACTCGACAGGATCTCGAGGCTGTTTGGTCCAGTACGGGTAGATGTCCTGGGAAAGATCGCTGAGGCGACCCTGGGAGGACTCACCTACCTTTACATCAAGCACCACATTATGCATCGCGACATTAAGCCTTCAAATATTCTGGTGAACTCGAAGGGTCAGATCAAGCTCTGCGATTTCGGTGTCTCCGGAGAGCTGGTCAACTCGGTGGCTGATACCTTTGTTGGAACATCTACATACATGGCCCCGGAGAGAATCCAGGGCCAGAAATACACGGTGAAATCAGACGTCTGGAGCTTTGGTCTATCCATAATGGAGTTGGCAATTGGCAAATTCCCATTCGATGCTAGCGAGCAGTTGTCTGACGGGGACGGAGCTCCTGCTGGTATCTTGGACCTGTTGCAACAGATTGTGTATGAGCCAGCACCAAAGCTTCCCAAGAGCGAGGCTTTCCCACAAATTCTCGAGGACATGATTCAGAAGTGCATGTCAAAGGTGCCGGAGGAGCGTCCCACACCACAAGAACTATTCGTAAGATTTCTCAACTTCTGTTTTTGGTTTGTTTACTTACAGGCTCTAGGAGCGAGAACCTTTCGTACAAGCAGCCAAGCGAACACCAGTCGACTTGAAAGAATGGGCAGTCAGTCTTATTGAGAAAGACAACCGCAAATCTCATCTCGCCCCTCAGTTATCTCCGTCCACACAACAACTGCTCCGCTCAGCAGACTCTCCTACCGGCCTACCAACTCCTACCTCTGGCGATATCCCGATCGGTGGTGGTGATGTGCGTTCAGCAATCGCATCTCCTCATTACAGTGATCGCTCACCCATCAGGAACGGCCACGGGAGTCTAGGTCGCAACACAGGCGCCTCCTTCCACCCGGGTCTCCCCCCACGCGTAGCAACCACCAACTCCGTCCCCAGACTCACCACTCTTAGCGCCCCTGACCACCCCACCAACGGTCCTTCGAGCGCAAACGCCGTCTCGTTCTCGTCAGCACTGCCCATGAGGCCTGCTCCTCCTGCTGGTCCGCTGCCGCCCCCACCCGTCCCAAGAAAAGAGAATGGCGACTCTGATGTTAAGAAGGAGAGCAGACGCCAAGCTACATTTGGAAACGGCTTATACGGATCTGGACATCCGGCGAACGGGTCCGCCAATTCGTACGACTACTAATGCCAGCCTTTCGCATCTTTTTTTCTACCTTTCTCATCGGCAAGCAATTTCCAGCATCTTCCGGCGTTGTCGCTAATTGTCGGACTTTTCTTTTGCTCTTTAAATTCATGTCATTTCTAGGTCCGTGATGGACCCGAGTTGCGCGCTAGGATGAGGGAAGACCAGGGTACTCCCATGCAGTACTGGTGTATTTAGAATCGAGTGCTTGTGAAGTGTTCTCTAGTCCGTCTGCTCGCTTATGACAGTTTCGGCCTTCTTATTCCTCAGAACGCCCTCTGCTCGAGCCCCCGTGTTACTATCCTCCCCCCTCCCAATCCTCCCCACGAAGCCATTCTCTAGGATGTCAATCAGCTCGTCTAATCGCGACACGATTAAATCCGTATGCTCGTGATCAGCAAGATGCGCGTTTACCTCGTTGACGAGCAAGACGGTCGCGGCGCCAGCTGTATAGCCGGCCGTCATGTCATCTATCGAGTCCCTTATCCCACCCATTGTTAGTTAGCGAATTAACTGACTTCCGCCTCGCCGTCCGCGCAATATCACACCCCTCGAAAAGTTTTCGAGGCCTTGGACGAACAACAACAACAACAACAACAATACAATCCATAAAAGAGGAAAATAATCACCACTCACCCAACCATAATCACCTGCCGCGCATCCGGCCCGCCATCCTCGCCCACGAAGCCCCAACTCTGAACAATATGCCAGATACCCTCGGGCCTCGGCTTCGGCGGCCTGAAGTCCCTCGTGACGATCGGCGCGAACTCCTTCCCGGGCAGGAAGCGGTCGAGGAAGTGGGTGACGGGGGCGTCGAAGTTGCGGGTGCAGATGCCCTTGGGGATGGCGCGGGCGTCCAGGTAGTCGACCAGGGCGCCGAGGCCTGGCTGGGGCTCCTGCGAGGACATGGCGGAGCGCTCGATGGCTCGGATCTTCTCGTGCGCGGCTTCTTGTTCTTGGGGCGTGGGGAGGGAGTGGATGTGGTCGAGGATGTCGGTGCCCTTGTCGATGCCGAGGGCTGTGCGCATCTGGCTGAACATCCAGTTTTGGGGGAGGCTGGGGTGGGTCAGATCCGTGGTTGAGAAAAGGATGTGTGTCGTTTGAGATGAGATGACAGAGAGATAAGAGACGGGAATTGGGTGAGCGAGCGTTTACGGAATGGACGGAAGAAGGAATTTATCGATGCCGCGGTGGATATGCACGCTTGCGAGCAGGCAATAAATGGAAAAACAGCGTCCTCTTAAAGTGCAGCCACGATAAATGAACGTTTTTCTCCCACAGTTGCAAATGACCAAGCAAGCATACAATAGATCGCCATCATGTTATTTTTGCCAAAAAAAAAAAAAAAAATTACCAAGGCATGTAAGAGTGAGCAACAAACAGCACGAGGAGCCACTTCATCACTAGAAATGGGCACTTGCGACCTTTCATGAAAGCAGCAATTGCCCTCACTTCCATCCATCCATACCAACCAGAGTATCAATACCTCTCTCTCTGTTCATAACCCATTCCAATCAACCACCCCCCTCCCCTTTCCAATAATAATAATAATAATAATAAAAAAATAAAAAATAAACCCCCCCAAAACATCTCTCAATCTCCAACACATCAACCAACCCTCCTCCTCTCTCTCCCCCTAAACCAACAACCAACAAGCAGAAAGAAAGAAAGACAAAAAAAAAACGAACACCCAAAAATCCAACAAACAAACAAAAAACAACAAAAACTTCAACAATAAATAAACAAACAAACAAAACCTACCAAATCGTCCCATCAACATCGAAAATCACCCCCCTCAACCTCGGCAGGCCTCCTCCTTCCCCCACACCAGCACCAGCACCCGCACCCGCACCCGCACCCGCACCAAGGCTCATCGGCGCAAACCGTCGCGGGTCTCGGGAAGACAGAGACGGCAACGAGCTCGTCATAGCGAACGATCGCTTGGCGCCCAGCTGCTGCTGCTGCTGTTGTGCTGCTAGTAGTGCTGGTGGTGGTAGTGGTGGTAGTAGCAGTAGTAGTGATAAGGGCGGAGAGGAGAATCGTCGTCGGGGAGTGGCTTTGAAGGATGCGTTGGAGAGGAGACGGAGGCCTGGTGTGGTGTGCATTTGAGTCCGTCTGGGATACGAGCCGAGACGAGACGAGTCGAATCGAATCGAGTCCAGTCGAGTCGAGTCGGATACCCGCGGAAAGGGAAAGGGAGGAGGTTTTAGGAAGGTGCAGGAGTAGTGACTAGCAAGGAACTAATTACCTCAACGTGGACTCGCTTACTATATTATACCGGTACTACTACGTAGTCTATGGGATCCACTGTTTAGGCCTCAGGCACGACGAGTCAGAGCACATCACCAACACATACCGGTACCATAATTAAAGAATCTAATGAATCATCCATGTTATTTTGTCTTCCGCGCACAATCAAGTGTATCTGTATCAATCAAGTGTATCCATGAAGCCTGCCACCATTCTTGCGCCGCAAAACAACGACAACACCCACAGCAGAATCTCCCTCCATACGCCAAATCAACGATCGCGCCTTCATGACTACGCCCCCCATAATCCCTCCCAATTTTGACCCATAAATAGTGCGAAAGAGAGCGTTCAGGGTTCCGTTCCGTAATCAACCCATTTCCTGAGCCTGCCAACACCATCTATCCATTTGATACTACATGCCGGATCACTTCTTCTTGCCTTTACCGCCCTTGCCCTTCGCGGCGGGTGGGGTGACGGCCGTCGTCGATACACTAGATGCTCTAGATGACGAGGGAGCTGCCGAAGTTGCCTTGGACTTGATGTTGTCGATGGCCTTGTTCTAGAAGAGAGTCAGTACTGCATATTGTTCAGAGGGAGTAGGTAGTTCAATTAACCTTGGCGCCGTTCTTGGACTTCTTCTTCACAGGCTCCATACCCAGGATGCTGTCTTCGTCGTTCTCGTCATCCTCCAGATCTCGCTTGCCTTTCCCATTGGTACCGTTCTTGGTTGCTGGTGGATCCTCGAATTCGCGAGCAACAGTTGTCAGGAGAGTGGTACATCGTCTGCTAATCTCGACGGGGGTTCTGCTGAGGAAGAACCAGTCAAATCTGAAGAGAGGGCTCTCACGAATGTCGTCACGGATGCGCTCATAAAGCCCGTCGCTCTCAACGCCGTACTTGTCTATCAACACCAACAAGAATCGATCCTCCTCTTCGGTATAGACCTTCTTGTTTGTAGTCGAGACGGAGTAGTTGATCTTGAGTTGTTGGAGAGGGACCCGGTATTGTTGCATCTTTTTGCGCAACATCTTGCGTTGATGCTCTAATTTGCGGGTTTTCTCCTCGCCGGCCTCGATCATGCTGATGTATTTGCTGTAATCGTGAATCTCGGTATATCGCTGCCAGAAGACCTTGGCATATGCCTTGATATCTTCGGCCGTCTTGTTATCAACCTCACTGGCGATGGCTTCATAGTCCTTCCGACCGTATTTAGCAGAGCCATTGACGAATTGCAGAAAGTCTCTGCGGTTCCAGTCCGCAAATCCCTGCTTCGACAACTTATCTCTCTCCGCTTTCTCTTCCTCAGTGAGTGGCGTAGCATTGTCAACTTCTGCTTGGTCCAGAGCACGCTCAGCTTCGCGGTCGGAAAGCTCATCCTCCGGGCCTTCGGGGAGGGGGACCTTGTAATCATTCGCCTTCTTGTGGTAGGCATTCTCGCGGTCGTACAGATCTCGAAGCGCGCCAGGGAAGAACTGATAGTCGTGAGCAGTCACTTGCTTTGGCGCGCGGGGGGCCTTTGGCTTCGGATCCGCAGTTCGACCGCCAGTGTGCAGAGCATTCTTGTAATACTTATCCATCGAGTAGGACTGCTCCTTTCGTTCACGCTTCGAAGGATTGATCCAGTTCATGCCGATTTCCTTCTTCTTGCTGGTGAAGTCTTGCCCGTTCCACTCGTATGCTGACTCGGACGTGAACTTTTGCAAGTCGTCGATGCCGAGTTGCTCGTATCGAGCGTTGAGCTCTGCTGTGCGCTTCTCACCATGCTTCAAGATCTCCTCGATATCGTCGTCGTTCAGTTCGGTTCCCTTGTCGGCAAGATTACCAGTTGGGCCGTTCGACTGGAAAACTTTCTCGGCACCATGTTGAATCATATTCAGCAATTCATCCTTGTTGGCAGCAGCCTTTGCGGCAGTCTGAGCGCGACCTTGTTGGATGACGAGTTGGTCAAGACGGAGCTTTTGGGCAGCGCGCTCCAAGACTTTCTCCTCAATGGCATTCTCGGTGACGAATCTGTAAACGACGACCTGCTTGGTCTGACCGATTCGATGGGCTCGGTCCATGGCCTGGAGATCTGCTTGAGGATTCCAGTCGCTGTCGAAAAGAACCACGATATCGGCACTAGTCAAGTTGATACCCAGACCACCAGCTCTAGTCGTCAAGAGGAACACGAATTTCTCAGAGCCGGGCTTGTTGTAATCGTCAATGGCTGCGATGCGGTCCTCGTGGGCAGTACCACCATCAATACGACAGTACTTGAACTCTCTGAAAACACAGTAATCTTCCAAGATATCGAGCAGTCGGCTCATCTGAGAGAAAATCAAGACTCTGCTACCTTGTTTCTTCAGGCGAACGAGCAGTCTGTCAAGCATGACCATTTTCCCGGCATTAGTGATGATATGCTCTTCGGTCGTGTAGGGGGGTCCGGGCTCAGCGCCTTCGAACAGGTAAGGGTGGTTGCAGCACTTTCGGAGTTGCATGACAATATTGAGCAGGCGCGTCTTGGATTCGCGTTTGCCACCAGCTCCATTGACTGCGTCGATATCCTTCTCGAGAATCTTCTTGTACCACTTGACTTGCATGTCAGACATGCCAATATACAGGTTGATCTCCTTTTTTGGCAGCAAACTCTTCTCGACATCGCTCTTGACACGACGGAGTAAGAAAGGCCGAAGGACACGATGAAGTTGTTGGACGACAGTATCTTGGTCGGCTCCCTGTCCCGAAAACCACTGATCAAAGGCCTCGGCTTCACCAAAAACATCAGGGAGGAGGAAGTTGAGTAGAGCCCACAACTCGTGCAGGTTATTTTGGAGCGGTGTACCGGTAATCAGAAGTCTGTTTCGGGAGTTGAAGAGACGAATGACCTGGGCCAAGGAGGATTCCTCATTCTTGATGCGGTGCGCCTCATCGATGATAATATATTCCCAAGCAAACTTCTTTAGGTGAGACTTTTCGCGGAGAATCATTTCGTAACTTGTGATGCAGACGTCGAACTTCTCATCAATAAGACGGTCGTTGATGAGCGTGTGACGTTCGTCCTTGGCTCCTTGGAGTACCAGAACGTTGACCTCTGGGGTCCATTTGGCAAACTCTCTCTTCCAGTTGTCAAGTGTTGATTTGGGGACCACCACCAAATGTGGGCCAGTGATATCCATGATATGTCTTAGGTACCCAAGAAAAGAAATTGTCTGCAGCGTTTTGCCAAGACCCATCTCGTCGGCGAGGATCCCAGAGATACCATTTTCGTGAAGAGAGATAAGCCAGTTCAGTCCTGCAACTTGGTAATCGCGCATTTCGCCGCCCTGGATGAAGCCTGGTGACTCCCGGAACACTGTCTCGGCAGATCCTCCAACTTTCTCGTCCTTCAGCAGCTCTGCGTCCTCCTCGGCCTCCGTTCTTCTACGCTTGTCGTTAGCTGCGCCGCCCTTTCGGTTGGTGCCCTTCTTCGCGGCCTTCTCAGTCTGGGCATTCTGTCTGTCAATTTCCACCATGATCTCTTTAATGCGAGGGTTCGGGTTTGTCTCGATGAAGTGTCTGAAGAGATCTGTAAGACCAAGGAGGTATCGGAAACGTCTGATAGAATCATCTTCCTGCACCAGAGTTAGCAGAGCCCCAGGAGGAGGAAGTTCTAGAAAGCAGTCCAGGGACCACCAATTAAAATCGTCTCAAGAGCAGAATGGCCGCACAGCCTGTCCAGAAGAAGGAAGCATTAGAATTGTACCTTGCTCTCGCCCAAGACGTCGTGCTTCTTTCCAAAGACACTTCGTCGTAGCTGTGTTGCTTCGGATCTGCGCTTTCGACCATCCGCCTCTGCTACAACACTGCTGGCAGTGGTATTGGGATTCGTGTCAGAGTCTTCTGTGTAGTCGGGGGTCTCATCAACCTCCTAGACAGATCTTAGTATTTGAACAATGCGCCCCGACCTCTCCTTTGAATTTCGAGAACGTACCATTGGGTCGACGGACGGTTCTCTGATTTCAGAAGCGTCGGCCATCGAGGTGTCTGGATCAGCCCCAGCAGCACTCGCGCGCGAAGAGCGTGGAGCCATGGTTGTGTGTGAACTTGGTACTTCAAACCAGCAGACTTGAATGTGATATGCGCCTTTGAAAGTCGCGATGGGGGCTTCCTGACCGCGTCAATTTCGATTGTGCCCAGAAAATTCGTGTTGTAGATGGATGGAGTTGAAGTATCTCGCAGAGGGAGGTGACTTCGTTTTAACGCGTTCGACAGGGGGAAGAGAGGGAGAGGAAGCTTTCACACAATTTGGCGATTTGGCGTCGGCGCGGAAAAGCTCCCCGGCGGCGGAGCGGGGCGGGGCGGGGCGGGATGGTGGGGCGCGGAGAGTCACAACTCACCTTGCCCAAGCCAAGCCAAGCCAAGCCAAGCCCCAGAACAGCGAAAAAGTGCGGAATTATGTATTTCCATCGATGTAAATGGATGAAGGCACACTCCACTCCACTCTTCCCCACTACTCCGTACTTGGTCTCCGTACGGAGGGAGTCACGGAGCGGAGAGGCATTCCAGAGATTTCCACCTGTTCAAACACCTCACCGATTCACCGAGTTGACTCAACTTCAACAATCTCCTTCTTCCTTCCTTACTGCTACTCATACCTCTCCTCTCTATCCTCTCTCCTCTCTCCTCTCTCCTCCCTCCTCTTCCCACTCTCCTCTCTCTAACAATACTATCTTCTTCGATCTCGGCTTGTTTGAACTTCTCAGCCAGCCTGTACGCTCAGCTCAGCTCGGCTCCTCCTGTTCCTCTGATCTGCAGCGGCCTCGGGATCTTTGCCGCCGCAGCCCATCGGCAACGACCGTCCTCCTTTGCTTACAACACAACACCCCAAACAACCCGCCCAGCACCTCTACCACGACGCTGCTGAACAACCCAAGATGGACTCTATGCGAAGCCTGAACTCGTCTCTTCCCGGTCCTGGACATTCGGCCAAGCACGAGGATCCCGCCCGACTGCTCGCCGCCTTCAAAGCCGCCGCTTTGTCCGTCACTAATCTATACAAGAGTGCTGCCGCGGACCAGGGGAGAGCACGATCGGAAGGCTACCAAGATGCTCTGGACGAGCTCCTGACGTATTTGGACAAGGAGAATATCGGTCTGAGCGATGGGGAGGGGTGGCGGATCCGGAGATGGGCTACGGAGAGACTGGATGGGAGAACCCCGACGGTTGAAAGTGACGACGAGGTCTCGGATAATCATAAAGCAACTGATCGAAGCTCATCGCCAGTCATACAAAGGGCGGATCCTAGCCCAACAACTCGAGTCCCTGCGTCAAACCCTACACGAACGGTCTCTCCGGTACGAACAGAATCGGTTCCTCTACCCGCTTCCGTACCTGCTTCCGTACCGATCAACGTGGAACCGGCTCCAGCCGCCAGCTTCGTGCCTCCACAAGCTACATTCACTTTCCGCTCTTCTCCTCAGTACCAACAAGATACAGACATTATTCTGTCAGACCTCGATTTGTCGGATAACACTCGTACCCCCGACGCCGGTGCAAATCGGCCCTTACGTACTAGACACAACGCTCGACCGGGAAGCAGACCGACGACAACAATAGGAAGGGCCGCTGGGCAAAAGCGAAAGATCAACTTCGGCGAGTTTTTCGACATCGGAAACTTGGGTCAAGGACGGGACAGGGACAGTTTTGGAGGTGCGGGTGGTGGTGGCGGGAAGCGTAGCCGGCCTGCCTGAACATTCCAGCATGTGGGATTATTGGGATAGGTCCAGAGGCATCGTAGATGGAAATGAATCCGAATGATGCCCGGTGGTTCCCGCCCAGAGCGGAAGCCGCTCTGTAACCGGTGGAAAAGGATGGTGTCAAGACCGATCCGTATTGGCATGGTAGACCCACGCTCAGGTCTGTTGTGGAGAGATGATACCCTACGGGAAGGGGGGGGGGGGGATGTCCCGAGCCTTGTGATACCGTTGCATATTATCGAGGCAGTCTTGGGAGCATAGCGATTTTTACTACGATTCACGATGCCTTGGAAGGAAAGCGATTTGGGTCGAAGCGAATAGGGCGCCATCTGCATCCGGAGAGGAGCATATCTGCTCTATCTTGGTGAGGATGATAGTACACTCTAGAGACTAATGAGAGAATTATGTCTGTTTGTATGAAGATGAAGACTCCGAGTTTAGTTACTAACTACGTCTAACTTTCAATCTTCGTTGGGCCTAGGTAGTAGGTAGGTGTAAGGTACGGTAGCTGGCACAACGTTTGGGGCCCTTCTACCTACGCGAGATGTCTAGTGACGAATCACACAAGGTGTTGTTTTTTTTTTTTTTTTTTTTTTTTTTAGTTCCAGTCTTAGTTTTATGCCGATTTATTTGGCTGAGCTTCCCTCTTCTTTCTCAATCACCACCTCTTCTACCCCCATCTTGCTATGCCCACAGATTATCTGCAAACCAAATTAGTACGCCATTTCTGCATCGTAGCTGTATTGCCAACTCCAACATAAGATTTCAAAATCACCTCTGACCAACAACCAACAACCAACAACCAACATCATGACATTGACTTCTCCTCTGGCCAAGTTTGATGGCCTCGAGCTCCCAGCAGCTGCAGACTTCCACGTACACCTGCGAGATGGTGCCATGATGGCAGGTACTCCGCTCCCTCAAGCAATGCAATGCAATGCTGACCCAAAATCCCCCCTGACAGGAAACCATCGTCCCTCTCATCAGGACCGGCGGCGTCAACACTGTGTACGTGATGCCCAACCTCGTCCCGCCCCTCACTTCGGCGTCGGCCGCTATGGCCTACAAGGACCGCCTGCAAAAGCTCAACCCGGAGGCGGAGGTCAACTATCTCATGACCTTGTACCTCCACGAGAGCATCACGCCGGCCGTGGTCAAGGGGGCCAAGGCCCAAGGGATCGTCGGCATCAAGGTCTACCCTGCCGGCGTCACGACCAACTCCAGCTCGGGAGTTTCGTCGTACGAGCCATTCTATCCGGTCTTTCGGGCCATGGAGCAATGTGGAATGGTGCTGAACCTGCACGGGGAGTGTCCGTCCGATCACGAGAAGAATATTACGGTAAGTCACCAGGCCAAGGGGGACCTTTTTGTATTCAGAGCCATGATCATCTTCGCTTTCCTCTGGGAGGCCTTGAGGCTTTTCTCGGTTGCTAATGCATGAACCTCTCTATCTATGTAGATCCTCAACGCCGAGTCCACATTCCTGCCAACGCTGAAAGGACTCCACGAGAAGTTCCCAAATGTGAGATGCTGAAAATCCTAGCCAGCCCCGCTCGCGTCCGGGGCAGATTTCCAAGAGAGCATCGTCATTGACAGGTCAATTTCACCCAGCTCAAAATCGTCCTCGAACACTGCACGACCAAGGAAGCCGTCGAAGCCGTCAACGACTGCGGCCCCAACGTGGTAGGCACAATCACCGCACACCACCTCTTCCTCACCATCGATGACTGGGCCGACGACCCATTCTGCTATTGGCAAGTCCTCTCGCATTCCTCTCCCCCCCTCCTCGGGACTTCGCCTCCTGCAGGAAGCTAATTCGCCACCCAGCAAACCAGTTGCCAAATGGCCAGCTGACCGCGAGGCTCTGATCAAAGCCGCGCTCGCAGGCACTGGTAAATTCTTCCTCGGCAGCGACTCCGCACCCCACGACGTCAAGGCAAAGAGAGGTGGATCCGGCAAGACTGCCGCAGGCGTGTTCACGCAACCCTACCTCATCCCTCTCGTCATGGATGCCTTCGAGCAAGCCATCGCGCGCAAGGTCATCAGCGAGGACGAAGTCACGGTCGACATCCTGAAGGGCTTCCTAGGCGGCCACGGCAGGAAATTCTACGGCCCATCATCAGACACGCGTGACGAGACTATAATCCTCAGCAGGGGCTCGGAAGTCATCCAGGAGTCTTTCACCGGCCAAGGCGTAGAGGTTGTCCCGTTTAGGAGGGGACAGCGCACGTGGAGCGTCAAGTGGAAATAGAATGAAACCCCAATTTTATTTCAATCCGAACCGCAAAACTCCATTCCTCCTTTTCCAGTTCCATTCTATCTATCAGTCAATCTAGGCAGGCTGTGTGTCTTTTTTTTTCCTTCTCTCTTCTTCTCTCTAGGTGATCCTGATCCATAAAACACAAGCAAAATGGTCCGTTGAAAGAACTCCCCCCTCCCGTCTGCACCCATGCAGAAAACCCCACGCCAGCCCAAAACCTGCTCGAACAGCAAAAGCAAAAGCAAAAGCAAAAGCAAAAGCAGAAGAAGCAAGACCCGAATGAACCCAGTCGACTGCAATGCAAAACAAACAACACCCCATCGCAATGCAATTCTGCCCGGTCCAATTACAAAAAAAGGCCAAAGAAAAAACAGGGGAAAAGCCTCTATGATATGTACTTCGTAGTACGGATTTTGTAGGCCCCCGATGAAGACAACCCGCCGGAAGGAAGAATCAGGAGGCGAGCGAGGCGGACGAAAACGCTGCTGGGGGATTCGAATCAAAAGACACCCAAGACACCCAAATGCAATGCAATCATTGCATGCTTCCC